AATAAGTTTGAAGAGCGTCACTTACTGGTATACCTTCGGTGATTAAATCTCCAACCAAATTTTCATATTCATGCACTTGATCAATGACCGGCTTACCATCCATCATTTTGTAGTTCAACCAACGGGCAACGGCATATTTCTTCCGCCCTGCGTCGTCTGAGCCGTACTTCTTTCGCAATAAATCCCATATGGTTTTTGCGCACTTCTGGCTGGCATAAATGTCCAGTAGTGCATCGGACATATAATGAAGCAGAATACCCCTTACCGTTTTATTATCGCGCTCGTATTTGGTACGAGTGTCTTGGACTCCATCGTCTGTCTTGGACGAAGGAGGTGTCTTCGGATCTGCTGCTGCTGCATTCTATTCAGTGACCGCATTCTCAGATTGTTCATCGTCAGTCGTGGCTGGTTGTGCAGGCAGGATCGCATCTAGCAGGTTCGCTGGTGGACCGTTGATGACGACGTAATCAATTTCGAGGGCTTCGAAATGGATCATCAGTTTCACCGCCCACCTGCGATAGTTGAGGCCGTTGAGTGGTTCGATCTTCGTGAGATCAGCAGCAGCTTTGGCGACATAGGAAGACATATTGGTTTTTTTGGTACGGAGGGAATAGCTTTTAACTGTTGAGGTTTGGGGGTGTTTTGGAATGCGATATTTAAAAGGAGTTATTTGTTTAATTTCTGTGACGTGTGTATAGACACACTGCCTTAAAAGCTAATTCCGGAGACCGTGCGAGTCTTTTATAACCGGGGCTTTCGACCAGCAAACACAGAGGATACTCACGTATAAATTGCACAGAGTATACGTATATTTAACGCGTAGTTGCTGAATGAATTGCAGTATGGGAAGGCTGGGTATTTATACTGGGTGTATACCAACTGCCTTCCCACTACCACCACAATAAAGAGCGCAAAAGATGGATAGGTTGCGCACAAACCATCCACTATGTGGTTCGGATTACTCCTGTCCACAAGAAGGTTTCAGGAGCGCAAAAATCGGACAAGAAGACTGATTCAAGAGCAAAAAAATAGGACAAAGAATAAAACGTTGACCCCCCACCACACCGCGACGCGCGTGCTGTGCCGAGGCCGGGCGGCGGCGGCGGCGCGCGTGAGGCTCCCCCTTTCCTCTCTCTAGAAAAGACTTCAAAGGACCCATTTGGGTTGGTAGTGAAATAGTGGGAAAACTATTCTTGGGAAACCAATGTGGGACAAACTTGTATGCAAAACCTCACTCTTGAATGTCTTATTCCCAACAAGTTATTCTCTTCTCTATAGGTTATAACCATACCAGTTGCCCCAACCATATGGCACAATCAAAACATGTAGCATGAAGTGCAAAAACATTATTAAAAAATTTCAACAAAAAAGGAACTCATTTCTTGAGATTTCCCAAACACAAGGGTGCATTTTAACGACTTAAAATCTGACAAAAGCAACCTACTACATATTACCCACCGATCATTGCACGACGGTTAATAGATATTTGAAATTTGTTTCCTTATAACGGATAAATTTTCAAAGTTCAAACTTGTCTATAAATTCCTATATTCAATTCTGAATGAGGGCTAGCAACTTTTGAGAACAAGTTATAAAAAGTGCAAAAGCTTACGAATGAAAACTAGAAGCCAGTGAAGATAGACCAAAACGCTACAAACACATATCAAGCTCAAGAACTACGACAACAATGAAGAATCATTCGATGAGTCTTATAGTTGGAGAAAGTTGGACAATCTTGTGTTCAAACCAACCATCTCTACTAGGATTAGTAGAAAGAGGTGGAGTAACAAGTTTAGCTTGTGAAAAACATAGACACTTAATGTCGGCTTTGTGTTCAAGGCTTAAGTGGTCTTTCTTGTACTATTTGATGTATAGCGCAATCCTCCTTGAGTCTAAGGAGAAGAATGGATGAAGGCTGGGCGTTGGTCGAATCACTTCAAAAATCTCTCTATGACTCTTTTACTTACAGCACTTTATTTTTCAACATTAACTTATCAAACCTAAAGCTTTACAAGATGAAAAATGTGCAAACACATTAAAAGGGGATAAATATTATTTTCCGTTGCGTACTTAAAATCTTCTTTTAAGTTCAAGTTTACTTGACCATATGGATTTTTGCAAAATTTTTAAAATTTATTCAAGTTTATTCACCCCACGCCCTTCTCTAGACTTGAATCCCTTACTCATCGGAACCAATAATAATAATAATAATAATAATAATAATTGTTGTTGTTATTGTTGTTGTTGTTGTTGTTGTTATTATTATTATTATACAAAAGAGAAAAGTATTATTACTCCCTAGTCACTTCTCTACGCTCATAGCTTGAGAGTAGGGGGTAGGTGACGGGATATTTGATGAATCTGCACTATTATTACCCCCTATCTTACTCTGCTACGCTCGCAGCCTGGGAATAGGGGGGCTAAGTGAAAGGATAATTGGACAAGGTACTGGACCGGACCCGAAACGCTCTTAATTGGTCTAACATGAAGGAGTCAAAGTAATTAACACAGTCAGATAGTAGTGATTAGGAATTAAGTAGAGAGCAGGTGGAACAGTGCACTTAATGCAGAGTCCAATGCACTTATTAGAGTGTCGCTTCATCAAAGAGCATAGTTATTAGGGAGAGTGCACAACAATACAATCACTAAGGGGTCACGACACTTATTGAGGGAAGTCATTACACTTATTAGGAGGTCGTTGTGCTCATTATTGTAACCGATACTATTGTATAGTATAAAAGATGAGCACATGTAACAAAAAGGGAGATACGCTCTAAATCTTGTACTCAAAACCATAACAATACAATCACATACTCTTAGTAACACTACTCTACTTGTCTCTATTGACCTGATAAATATTTATCACTTGCACCACTACACAACTGCACCAGATGCACCATTCCACCACTCCTCAGATCTCGGCTATCCAATATCACATCTCAACGGTGCATAGAAATTCACAAGTTCACACCCAAGCAATGGTTCTCAAGATCAACTATGGAATTGGCCCGATTGGGTATCACTTAAATGTGTGTTCCACATATGTAAAATGTTTGTCAGCAAACTACCTAAACAAATCTCGTGCCTCTTGTTTGTGCTTTCTACTGGATATTAACTTTGTTAATATATAACTAATCTGTAGTATTGAAAAAGAATACAAATTTTCACTGACTTTTCAGGTTTTGGTGAGGTATTTGCCTCTTTGCAAGAGATGCCTCTAATCAAATTCAAAGTTTCCTGTTTCATGTTTCATGTTAAGACTTAGGAACTTTTGTTTTTTTTTATTCATTGACTAGATTTAATTATATCTCTCCCTCATCATTAATTTAACTAAAAAACATTAAAGCTTGGACGATTAGTAAAGTTGTCTCTCCTTGCGCGACCATATGCCATATGTGTTGATCGAAGAGCCATATATGTTAGAGTAACTTTATCTTAAAGTTTTCACATCCTAACTTATCATTAATTTATAAACACAAAAACTTGTGTGAGATCGTCTTGTAAATTTTTCATTGTGAAACGAATTAGATTAAGATGAAAAATATAATATTTATATTAAAAAATGTAATACTAATTAATCAGAAATAAGGTGTTTATATTAATTATAAGAAAAAATGTAATATTTTTCAAAAAAAAAAATGTAATACTTTTACATTTTGATTTAAAAGTAGAAAAATAATATGTGTATTGCCACTTTATACTCCCAACTTTTACTTTCACACACAAATCCTTGCTGTAGACACTTGTATTGGGACTCACATAAAAAAAAAATAGCTTATCAGAGCCTGCCACATCAGAGTAAAATTGAGCGAGTAAGATTTGGGAGTACATGTAGTAAAACTCTTAAAAGTATTACATTTTTTCTCGAAAATATTACACTTTTTCTTATAAATAAAAAACACGTTATTCCTGATTAGTATTACATTTTTCGGTATTTCAATACACATTTCCATCTTGACCCGACCCGTCTCACAAGAGAGTCGTTAAGGGTAACACTTGTGTGCATGAGACCGTCTCACGGGTCTCAATCTGTAAGACGGGTCAGATCTTTTATTAATGAATGGGATCTTTGCGCTCAAATAATGTGAGTTATTTGAATTTAAACAAAATGTAGACAACAAAATGAAATATAGTCATTTTTGGGTTAGTGGTGATAAAAATAAAACAAAATTGGCAAAAAAAAAATTACCATAATAACCAAATATGATAAGAGCTGAGTTTGATAATAATTTTCTAAATATGAAAGATTGATAATTAATGATCAAATGCGGAAGAGGTACTATAATCGATATACAAGCTTTTAATAAAATAAAATAAAATAAAATAAAACCTCTAAAATGTCTCTTTATCAAATTACAGTTCAATCAGTTTACAATAGTAAATATAATTTTTTTCTTACTTTGAGCTAATGTCACACTAAGATATAAAATTAAATATAAATTGATAAAAAGAAAATAACATTCACCTTATTTAGTGATACATTTGAGGTTGAATATATCCTACCATTCACTTGCAATCTAATATGGTAATTTCAATTCAAATTTAATAACAAATCCAAATTAGCTATAAAATTGTAACTTTTGCAGGAATTGCATTTCTACAACTTAACAAGCCTTTTTCTCTTTTGTTGACATTGTATTTCAAAATGTGCACTTTATGTTTTAAATAATAAATTTAAATATCATTATTGTTATTATATCATATTATAGTTTAAAAATGAATTAGAATTGTAAAAATTGTAAAAAAAAATATAGAAAAAAATAATAACGAATTGTAAATATGTCAATTTGATAATAAAAATCATTTTTCAAAGTAGATGAAAATTGCTCCAGAAATATGATATTATTAAAAAAAAAAAAAAAAAAAAAAAAAAAGCAGGTAAAGGGATGAAAAGACAAATAAACTCATGTCAAAAGAATCTATTTTTATTTATCACATCATGAATAAAATTTATTTATGACTAAAATTTGAGAGTACACCTAATAAAGTTCGTAGAATAATAAAGAGTAATGTACTATCATACCCCTCTTCTTCCATAGTCCGATTTAGTCAAAGATCTTAATCGTACAAGAAATTTGACTTTCTTATCCCACGCGCACACCGGTCTCCTCCTCTTACCGCCGCATTTCTCCGGTGAATCCTCCCAATTCTCCGGTGGTTCAGCCAGCCTCCGCTCCATTCTCTCCGGCGACCTTGCCAGGTCATCATAGTCAGGCCCACCTTCAATGGCATCCATGGTGACACCCAAAATCTTCGCCTGCATTGCTGATATCACCGCTTTGACCGCCACGTCAGCGTTCCTCCGATTCCGCAGCAAAATCTCACCTATCTGAGCCGGCGTGAGGCCTCCGCCGGACCTTATGCAACCCTCCGCCACATCAAACAGCGCGTGCGATTCCACGCCCAAGTAGTTCTTCACCAAGGCTTTGAACGCGTGCGCCCCGCACGTGCCGAGGCTAACGTGCACGTCCATGCGCCCGCATCTAACGAGCGCCGGGTCTACATTTTCTCGGTGGTTTGTGGTGAACACAATCACCCTCTCTTCCCCGCAGCTCGACCATAGCCCATCGGTGAAGTTCAGGAGCCCGGATAGCGTCACCCGACGGTCTTCTTCCTCGTTGTCACCCGCATGGCGTCCCTTCTTACATGTTTTTCTCATTTTCGTCGCTCTATCGCCGGTTAAATCTATGGAGCAATCGATATCTTCGATTACGATGACGGAGCGGTTGGTGGTTTGTATGAGCAAAGCTCTAAGCTCGGAATTGTCTGAAACTTTGCTCAGCTCCAGATCGTAGACGTCGTAGCAAAGGAAATTCGCCATTGCAGCTATAAGGCTAGATTTCCCCGACCCGGGAGGGCCGTAGAGCAAATACCCACGCTTCCATGCACGCCCGGTGTTGCGATAAAACTCTTTCCCGTCGGCGAAGGCCTTCAGGTCATCCGTGAGCTGATTCTTGAGCTCCGGCTCCAGGGCGAGCGTCTCGAACGTGGACGGGTGGCGGAAAGGCACGGAGGACCAGCCGGACTCGTAGGACCCGCGGCCGTTATTCGTAAACAGACGCCGCTCCCGCGACACTCTCTCGAACTCCTCCGCCCGGGCCGTCACGTGTTCCAGGTACGGCGAGAGGAGCGGCAGGCGGTGGCGCTTGGGGAACTTGAGAGAAAAGCTGCGCTTTTCGTCGAGCGAGTCTTGAACGGTCTCGACGTGGTGGGTCCAGTGGAGGCGGTGGCCGTTGAAGGTGTCTTGGACGGAGTGGTTGGGCGCCACCGTGAAGGAAATGCAGTTGGAGGATTTGGAGCGAGACAGCGTGAGGCGGCGGCAGGTGGCGGAGGGGTTCATAGAGTTCAAGTATAAGTTAACGTGGCGGTAGAGATCGTTAACGTCGACGCCGCAGTAGCCGTTGAACTCGGGGATTTCAAAGTAAGAGTAAGGGCTGAAGAAATCTTGAAAAGATTCATAGATGGAGTGGAGCAATGACAGAAGTTGTGTGGGCAAAATGTTTTGGAGAACAGTCAAAAGACCTAAGAGAGACCAAAGTTGTGATAAGATCTCCATGGATATGATGCACATTGAGTTAGAGCTTATCAAGAGAATGTGTTAAGTTTTACTTCATATATATATATATATATATATATATATATATATATATATATATATATATATATATATACTTTTGCTCCAATGCGACCGTGCCTTTCCGTGTGGCTATTGCGGCCGCTTGAAAAAGGTACCAATACTGTTTACAAAAGACACCAATAGTATTAACAAAATACACAAATAAATGCACAAATACACCAAACAAGGCACAACACACCCAAAAAAATGGGCCATAACTCTCCACCCCTAATTGTATATTTGTGAACATTGTGTGGTGCTTTTATGCATACCTAATGGTGCGTTTTTGGTGATGCGTACGTAATTTGTACATTTTTTGTTATGCATTTCCTAACATTGTTGGTGCACATTTGCATAATTATTGGTGTGTCCGCACCTGAACTCTACTCTAGATAGAGGGCTTACATGAATGAACATAATTTACTCCATGGATGCACAAAATCTAATACTTTAGTGCACAATCACACAATCTCGTGTATTAACTTATATGCATTTATGCAAGTTCGCAGGTTCTCATCTTAGACATGATTCTCATTTGATCTTGAATTTATATATATAAATATCTATATATATATATATATATATATATATATATATATATATTTAAATATATAAGTGGATCAGATCAGAGAAGAAGACAAAAGAAGATGATGAGAATGGCAATGTTGAAAATGAAGGGCAAAGTGGAGAGTGATCAAGTCTATTGTGGTTATTTAGGTAAAGACAGACAAAGTGAGTGTGTGAGATGTATGAGAAAATGAGCAGAGAAAAGTGAAAAGCAAAAAGCTATTTATGATGCAAACTTGTCTTACTTTAGTTTGCTTTCACTATCGATCTTCATTGTAGAAATGAATCGGAGTCCATTCTCACAGCCAATATTATTATCCGATATTTAATTTGGTCATTCACTGCTATAAAATTTCTGATACAAAATTTGTCTGGTTTGGATACGCGCCAGTGTAAATGGGAGTACGACGTACGACGCACGAGCTGAGGGAACATGGCGACATTGACACTTTTGCTTTATTGGAGGACATTAAGGTGTCCTAATCATCTTTAATTTCAGCTAGCTTTATTTGTATGTGCCTTGGTTTGGGCATTCAATTCTTTATATGTAAAGAAGTATAAAGAAGTGGAGGTTCTTGAATTGGGATAATTAACTCATCAAGTAGGTCATGATGAGACACATGTACATGCATCGTTTTCATTATTTTTTTATAACTCAAATTGTTCAACTTTATCAAATTATAATGGACCTTGTAAATCCACTTCAGACCCATGATGAAGTAAATCAAATTAATGTAACATCAAAGCTCAATATGTCTGCGCGCGCGTATCTAACTATCAGCTTAGACTTTTAGTTGAGATGAATGACATGTTTCAATTTGATATTAAAGCTAATCATATTCCAAAAGGTCATCTCGCACATGGTATTCCATACCTGCAATTAACAATTTGAGTATGTAGTTAACATGTTATGTGAATTTTATTTTGTACCAAGATCCAAAATGCAAGCTAGGGTAAACTCTAGTCCATGATATAATTTGCGGGGGAGCTTTTAGTTGATATAAAGATCATGCTTCAATTAGTTGAACCCCCAAGCTATTATTCCAATTGTCGAGCTTCGAAGGTCAGAACTATTAATAAGTTCAACAAGTTCTTAATATAAAGTCATAAAGAAAAAACAAAGAAAATAAAATAATCTATTGTCCTATTTTATGTGTCTAATCCGGTTAAATAGGTTTGATTGTTGTTGCAATGAGGAGATGGAGAAGACAAAGCTTATGGAAAGGGAGTTATGAAAAGTGTATTCAACCACTTATTACCAGAAGAAGCACGAAGCTTATATATGTACAGCAATATGAAGCAGAAATAAAGCGGGAAAGGAAAAGATACAAAAGCAGTACTAACAAAACTAATTAACCACTCTTAACAGAATTGGTTATTGAATGGTGAGCTGATATGTCACGTGATATGTCACGTGCTTCTTGCTCCCTAAGAGCCCCCCTCAAGCTTGGATTGTAGAGATTTAGCAAACCAAGCTTGGAGACATAGCTATAGAAAGAGTTTGGACAATGTGTCTTAGTAAAAATATCTGCCAACTGGTTTGCAGAACTGATGTGAAATAACTTGATGATCCCTTTCTGAGTTTTCTCTCGAACAAGATGACAATCAATCTCGATGTGCTTTGTCCGTTCATGAAATACCGGATTCTCAGTAATAGCTATAGCAGACTTGCTATCACAATAAACAACTGTGGGAGTTGCAGGCAACAGATCAAACTCAGCAAGCAAGTAAAGGATACACTGCACTTCACAAGTAGTAGCAGCTAAAGCTCTATATTCTGCTTCTGAGGAAGATTTAGAAACTGTAGCTTGCTTCTTGGACTTCCATGAGATTAAGGCTCGTCCTAAGAACACACAAAAACCTGTTACAGATCTTCTAGAGTCTATGCAGGCTCCCCAGTCTGCATGAGAAAAGGCTTTCAGGCTCAAATTAGACTGTGCTGGGAAGAACAGTCCTTGTCCAGGGGCACTCTTTATGTACCTTAACACCCTATGGGCTGCTTGCAAGTGTAAGTGTGTAGGTTTGTCCAAGAACTGAGACAACTGTTGTGTGGCAAAGCTAATATCTGGCCTGGTGATGGTAAGATATAATAGCTTCCCAACCAGCCTTCTATACTGAGCATTATCATCAAGTAAGTCACCCTCATCCTTACTTAGTTTGTGTGAAGGGACAGTAGGACTGTACACAGGCTTGGAATCAATGAAACCTGACTCCTCTAATAGCTCAAGGGCATATTTTCTTTGTGATACTGCAATGCCCTTCTTCTGTCTTGCCACCTCCAAACCTAGGAAATACTTCAAAGGTCCTAGATCTTTTATCTGGAAATTGTTGTTAAGCTGAGACTTTATCTGCTGGATCAAATCTGGGGCAACACTGGTCATTACTATGTCATCAACATATACAAGTAGAGCCACAAAAGATGATCCCTTGCCTTTGGTAAATAGAGAGTTGTCTGCCACTGACTGTTTAAATCCCATTTTCTGCAAGGCAGTATACAGTTTTGTGTTCCATTGTCTACTGGCCTGCTTTAAACCATATAGGGATTTGATTAACTTACAGACTTGGCCACTTTTAGTTCCTGCAACTCCAAGAGGGAGTTCCATATACACATCTTCTTCTAAATCTCCATTGAGAAAAGCATTGTTTACATCCATTTGGTGTATATGCCAGTCTTTTGCTGCTGCTATAGCTAACAAGGTCCTAATGGTGGTCATTTTGGCCACTGGACTGAATGTATCAAGGTAGTCAATCCCAAGGGTTTAAGTGTATCCCTTAGCCACAAACCTTGCTTTGTATCTATCAATGGTGCCATCAGCCTTGTGTTTAATCTTATACACCCATCTACACCCTATAGGCTTCTTTGATGGTGGTAGATCCACCAAGATCCAGGTCTGGTTTCTTTCCAATGCAGCTATCTCTTCCTGCATGGCTACCTTCCAGCAATCATGTTTCATTGCCTCTTTGTAGTTCTTGGGCTCACTGTGACAGGAAATATTCATGGCAAATGCGTGAAATGATGAAGAGAACCTATCATAGCTTACACTTGTAGAAATGTCATGAGGGGAAGTCTTCAACATTGCATTATGGCAAACATAATCTCCAGATATGTTGGAGTTTGTTTATGTCTAGCAGGCTGCTGTTGTGGTTCATGGGGGGCAGAACTAGCAGGCTGTTCATAAGAGCTGCTCATCTGTTCAATTATAACCTTAGGGAAATGCTCAGCTGAATCATCAGGGCTACTGTCAACATTTCTCTCAATGGAATGCTCAGTTGATTCATCAGAACTGCTACCAATCTGAGCTTGTGAATCATCAATGGATTCTAGTGGAGTACCCTTTATAGCTGGAAGTATAATCTCAGAGAATCTCCTTTCCTCTAGGTTAGTAGTGGACTGAAAAGGGAATATATTCTCATGGAAAGATACATCTCTTGACATAAATACCTCTTTGGAGTGAAGATCATATAACTTGTAACCCTTGGTTCCATTGGCATATCCAGGGAAGACACACTTTTTTGCTCTTGCATCAAACTTAGATTTAGGGCCCAAAGTAGCAGCATAAGCCAGACAACCAAATACCTTTAAATGTTGATACTGTGGTGTTTTGTGAAGGAGGACCTGATATGGTATTTGATTACTGATGGCACTGGAAGGCAACCTATTTATTATGTAGGCTGCATGTAACACACACTCACCCCAAAAACATTCTGGCATGCTGGCTTGAAATCTTAAAGCCCTGGCAGTAGATAGAAGATGTACATGCTTCCTTTCCACTCTACTATTTTGTTGTGGGGTGTAGGCACACGATGTTTGATGCTGTATCCCTTTCTGGTTAAAGAATTCAACCATATCAAATTCTTTGCCATTGTTTGATCTGATGCTCTTAACATGAGTTTGAAACTGGTTTTCCATCATATTGCAGAAGTTCACTACCAGACTTCTTGCTTCAGACTTCTTTTTCATCAAGTAAATCCATACTGCCCTACTATGATCATCCAAGATTGTGAGAAAATATTGATGTCCATGGAGGGTGGGAACTTTGTATGGACCCCAAATGTCCACATGCAGCAAATCAAAACAAGCACAAGAAATGGATGCACTGGGATGGAAGGGAAGCCATTTTTGCTTAGCAAAGTGACAGTAGTCTCAAATCAAATCTTTATTCATAGAGATAGTGGAATCCACTTTATGCAAACATTGAAGTTTAGAGTATGAAGCATGCCCTAACCTAGTATGCCACAAAGTGAATTTATTCACATCAGTACTAACAACATTGTGCACTGAAAAACAATTAACAGGAAAACTCAGGAGGTATAATCCACTTTGAAGCTTAGCCAATCCAATCATCTTGCCATGGATAGCATCCTGTATGACACACTGATCAGTGTGTAATTTCATAGTGCATTTAGAAGTCTAAATG